GTAGAGGGCTTACAGGGATAATGGCTGGCAAGAGAAGTTCGTTGCAGCACTGGCCAAAGTGGAAAGTGTTCTCCATGGAGATAAGGTGTATTGTGTGCTCTGTGTTGGCCTTTCTTGAAACCTCACATCCAGAGTGATGGGAGGAGGAGGAGGAGGCGGCCTTCTGGAGACTGAAGGGTGGCTCAGGGAGTCAGGAGGGTGAAAGGAGGTGGCACACTAGGCAGGTGCAGCTGAGGCAGAAAGTCTTACATACACAAATATAAGTTTTTGGTCCTGGTTGTTACTGTAAGTAATTGTTCTTTGTTGTTTTGGAGGTAGTTTTATAAACTGGCTTATCTGAATTATGTTTGAAAATGTATGGAGAAGAAACAGGACGCTAAATGTGGAAGATTTACAAGTTTAGGTCTTCATGGCACAAGTTGTAATGCTTACTTTCCCAAAAGTTTGGGAATAACTTTCATGTTCTCAAATTTAGTCTCAACTCATAAAATAGATTTCAAAGTGCTCAAAGATCTCATAGACTCTCTAAACTTTTCTGTCAATAGAACAAAAGATGTTTCAAAGCTTCATATATTTGTTGATAATAATTTTTTTGTCTGCTATTGAAGAAAAATGTCCACTGTATGAAATAGTACACTTGAACTCACCCAGGTTACTGGTAGCTGAAAAATAGAAATAAATGTATTAACCTTTCTGTGTCATGAAAAACACAACATATTCTTGCAAAAATCTCCTTCAACCTCGGTCTTGCAAAGCTAAAAAACCTGATGGCTGTGAAATACGTTTTTGTTCCACCAAGAGCCTGTGTGTGCAGATCTTGGCCCACAGGAAGCCCAGATGCACTGTGCTTTTAGAAAGACTGGTATGATCAAGGTGGCCATGGGGTTCTTTGAAGGTTAATTGATGAAATGAAGTCAAGCTGTTTAGAGAGGGAGAAGTTAGGAGGCCTGAATGAAGGTTTTCTGGTTTCTGTTGCTTTTTTATCCTAATTTTGTGGTTCCCTGAGATGGTGTTCTGTAAATATTTTTGGAACTTAATGCAGAACTGTAGACAATCAGGAGACCTCAAGAAAGCCTTGTTTATGTGACTTCTCACCCTGTGTTGCTACAAACAGTTTGCATTTTAGAAGTTTGTTAGGACACTGGTGTTCCCAAACAGGTTATGAAGTACCTTATTTTTCAGCTACCCACATACAATGGAAACAAAGTTTTGTCTGTCTGAACTGATGATGTTCAGGCTGTTCTAATCATGGAAGTCCTCATGTAAGCAAATTGGTAGAAGTTCTACAAATACAGACCTGTATCTAAAAAAAGCAACAAAACCTGCCCTCTTTATACTTATTCCTGCAAGAAAGGTTAGTCCTCTTGAAAGTGGAAGGCTATACACATGCCGCAGTATCTTTTGAAATAGTTGTTCTGGTTTTGATAATTCTTTGTGGGGAAAATATGCTACTTCCTATGGCCTTGCAGCTCTTCAGGTAAGTAAGCACCCAGGGAATGGCAGCAGTGAGTTGCCTGACTGGACATAAAGTACCTTTATGAGATAGTCTTCTGTGGAAATTTGAGGTTTGGTCTTTTCATGTGGCTGCTCTAAAGCTCTATGGCAGATGAGTTAGGAGGTAACCATTTGGTTACAGAAATAGTTACAAACAGCTCCCTGCTTTTTACCCCTTCAAGCTTTAATGCAACTTCAGAGTGAGAAGATGAGGGAAAAAAGTCATCTAATGGCCTTCACATTTGTGGATCTTTGAGGTTCTTAGTGCTGGAAGAGATCTTCTTGTTTCTGAAAGTTCCATGATGATAGGTCTTAATGTGCCTTCAACTGAAGTCTTGGTGAGGGCACAGTACATGACCTCACTTCTTCTCTTTAGTATGGCCTCTTGGACTCTTTCCTCTGTTTTCTGTCACTTCCAGGTACTCCTCGCAGTTACTTACTTAGAGGTGTCAAGTGAAAATGCATCTGGCATTTAAGTGTTCAAGCAAGAAGCTGTCTTTTGTATCCACTACACTTCTGAGATGCTTATGATGGTAGAGTTGGACATTCTTGATGAACGTCTTTAAGTTGTCACCTTGGCTACTGGGTCTCCTGGGCCAAGATACTTGATATCACACTCTTAAAATGTCAGTGTACTTGTCCCATTAGGCTAGCTGTTCTACATGCCATGCAGGCTCAGCTTTTATCAGCTTCACTTCTTTTTTTCTGTGTCCAGGAGTCTGACAGTAGGAGTTGCAAGCTGTAGTTAGGAAGATGAGAACTATTTGATTTAAATAGTAAATGGAAACTGAGATGCAGCCGTGTCTGTATCTTGTGATTAGTCAGGAGGGTGAAAGGAGGTGGCACACTAGGCAGGTGCAGCTGAGGCAGAAAGTCTTACATACACAAATATAAGTTTTTGGTCCTGGTTGTTACTGTAAGTAATTGTTCTTTGTTGTTTTGGAGGTAGTTTTATAAACTGGCTTATCTGAATTATGTTTGAAAATGTATGGAGAAGAAACAGGACGCTAAATGTGGAAGATTTACAAGTTTAGGTCTTCATGGCACAAGTTGTAATGCTTACTTTCCCAAAAGTTTGGGAATAACTTTCATCTTCTCAAATTTAGTCTCAACTCATAAAATAGATTTCGAAGTGCTCCAAGATCTCATAGACTCTCTAAACTTTTCTGTCAATAGAACAAAAGATGTTTCAAAGCTTCATATATTTGTTGATAATAATTTTTTTGTCTGCTATTGAAGAAAAATGTCCACTGTATGAAATAGTACACTTGAACTCACCCAGGTTACTGGTAGCTGAAAAATAGAAATAAATGTATTAACCTTTCTGCGTCATGAAAAACACAACATATTCTTGCAAAAATCTCCTTCAACCTCGGTCTTGCAAAGCTAAAAAACCTGATGGCTGTGAAATACGTTTTTGTTCCACCAAGAGCCTGTGTGTGCAGATCTTGGCCCACAGGAAGCCCAGATGCACTGTGCTTTTAGAAAGACTGGTATGATCAAGGTGGCCATGGGGTTCTTTGAAGGTTAATTGATGAAATGAAGTCAAGCTGTTTAGAGAGGGAGAAGTTAGGAGGCCTGAATGAAGGTTTTCTGGTTTCTGTTGCTTTTTTATCCTAATTTTGTGGTTCCCTGAGATGGTGTTCTGTAAATATTTTTGGAACTTAATGCAGAACTGTAGACAATCAGGAGACCTCAAGAAAGCCTTGTTTATGTGACTTCTCACCCTGTGTTGCTACAAACAGTTTGCATTTTAGAAGTTTGTTAGGACACTGGTGTTCCCAAACAGGTTATGAAGTACCTTATTTTTCAGCTACCCACATACAATGGAAACAAAGTTTTGTCTGTCTGAACTGATGATGTTCAGGCTGTTCTAATCATGGAAGTCCTCATGTAAGCAAATTGGTAGAAGTTCTACAAATACAGACCTGTATCTAAAAAAAGCAACAAAACCTGCCCTCTTTATACTTATTCCTGCAAGAAAGGTTAGTCCTCTTGAAAGTGGAAGGCTATACACATGCCGCAGTATCTTATGAAATAGTTGTTCTGGTTTTGATAATTCTTTGTGGGGAAAATATGCTACTTCCTATGGCCTTGCAGCTCTTCAGGTAAGTAAGCACCCAGGGAATGGCAGCAGTGAGTTGCCTGACTGGACATAAAGTACCTTTATGAGATAGTCTTCTGTGGAAATTTGAGGTTTGGTCTTTTCATGTGGCTGCTTTAAAGCTCTATGGCAGATGAGTTAGGAGGTAACCATTTGGTTACAGAAATAGTTACAAACAGCTCCCTGCTTTTTACCCCTTCAAGCTTTAATGCAACTTCAGAGTGAGAAGATAAGGGAAAAAAGTCATCTAATGGCCTTCACATTTGTGGATCTTTGAGGTTCTTAGTGCTGGAAGAGATCTTCTTGTTTCTGAAAGTTCCATGATGATAGGTCTTAATGTGCCTTCAACTGAAGTCTTGGTGAGGGCACAGTACATGACCCCACTTCTTCTCTTTAGTATCGCCTCTTGGACTCTTTCCTCTGTTTTCTGTCACTTCCAGGTACTCCTCGCAGTTACTTACTTAGAGGTGTCAAGTGAAAATGCATCTGGCATTTAAGTGTTCAAGCAAGAAGCTGTCTTTTGTATCCACTACACTTCTGAGATGCTTATGATGGTAGAGTTGGACATTCTTGATGAACGTCTTTAAGTTGTCACCTTGGCTACTGGGTCTCCTGGGCCAAGATACTTGATATCACACTCTTAAAATGTCAGTGTACTTGTCCCATTAGGCTAGCTGTTCTACATGCCATGCAGGCTCAGCTTTTATCAGCTTCACTTCTTTTTTTCTGTGTCCAGGAGTCTGACAGTAGGAGTTGCAAGCTGTAGTTAGGAGATGAGAACTATTTGATTTAAATAGTAAATGGAAACTGAGATGCAGCCGTGCCTGTATCTTGTGATTTTTCTGAATTTCAGGTAGGGATCCTGAATTCTTGCATCTTGCTCTAACTTGAACACTGTTGTTTCAGTGGTATGTATTTAAAAACTGCCACTCCTTTAATGTGCAGAGTTCTTCTATGCCACCTCTGTGTGCCTCATGGTAGTGTGCTCTTCAGAACAGGCTGTGGTTAAATCAATAGGGCTTCCTTTCTTTTCTCTTAAAATAACAATTCAAGTTACCTGACCAGTGTGACCAAAGTGAACTGTTCCTCTTCCCATCTTTCTTCAAATTCACATTATTCCTGGAAGAAGAGAGCTGTAGGGAATGCATTTGCATCCAGTGTTTCTTTTTGAAAAAAAAACCATACCAAAACAAATATCAAACCAACAAAAGCTTTGCAGATTTTAGCCTTTAAATCAGCTTCTGTTTAAAAGCTTTTCCACGGTCAAGCTGTTAGCACTGTGAGTTGGCCAGTGGGCCTGATGAGAAATGCCCCCCATGAACTTCCAGAGCTGCTGTTAGTGAAGAAGACTTACATTTTAAAAGCATTTAAAGCTTGGACTTCATCTTTATTCTCTTTGTAGATGCTCCTCTACACATAGCCCTAAGGAGTACCCCTTATAGAGGTGAAAAAATAGAAAAGAGAAGAACTTCAACTCCTGTAAGTGCATTAAATAGTCGTGGACATTCGGTTAGAGAACAAAGCAGGAACCACATAGCGCGATCGCTGCGGAAGCCTCCAGCAAAAGCAAGAGTTGAAAATGGTATGGCTCTTGAGTTCAAAGTGAAAAAGTTAAATGTGGAAAGGTCTTGGAAAAGTTTTAACATTGTAAGGAACTGGTAATACTGACAGAAGGTTTTCTGTATGCCTTCTTTTAAAGTTTATTTTTTTAATGAATGCACAGTATGAAACGTGAGCAGTGTTTGTTCAGTGCTTCTTCTCAGTAGTTTCAAGTGAAGAATTAATGACTGTA